TCTGCTTTAAGATGTACTGGGAATAGACAAAAGAATTTGAGCCATATGTACAGCCAGAGTGTGGATGAACCGCACAGTTACCGTCATTCGATAAACTGGGTTTTTTTTCTTGCAAAAATTAGATGATTCTCAACATGAACGAAATGTGTTACAACACGACATACATTTCGTAACAAATACAATTTATTGGGAAAAATGTTCAACGTTCTCCAAAAATGCTTAGGTGAGCTTCCCACAAAGCTCATGCGGTATAATTCTATTAGATTTCTTTCTTTGCGATTATGTGAAGTCATTACCTTTATTTTCATACACCACAAACTGTCAATGGCTTTCATTTCCAATATCATTCGTTTGTTTGATGAAATAAGGGCCGAGCTGCCTGCTCAACAATTCAATTTTTGCAGACGTCCAAAACCGTTCGTTCTTTTTAAATGAAAGTCACACGAATCAAAAAGACTCTGCTGATATCGCTTATTTCAAATAAATGGTGTGTACAAGAGGAGGAGGGGTAATTTTGTTTTCAATCTATGTTAAATTTTAAGAATTTTTTGTAATGATTAGAAGTAGGCTGCGAACGCATACTGATAAGCACAGTTGAAGGATGTTGTCTGAAATGGATTACGAGGCTATCATCGGATATTTAGAAATCGAAACTGTCATTAAGACGAATTTCGTATCGAATGAATGTCCCGTTTCCTCTGGAATGACTCCTCAAATCCTCATCCTTGATTAGTACTAATCGACAAAAATATGTGCAGTAAGTTGAAGCTTCAAGCACGAAGCGGTAGATGGATGAAAAGGATGAATGTAATTTCACATGTTTGTTTGTAAGTGCTCCAAACAAAATATCAAAATTAATAAGCTGCTAGGAGTCGCGTGCGAAGGATGATATGGAATGGATGGTAACCGAAAAATTAATATCGAATATTGTGCAAACAAAGGAATGACAGCAAAATACCAAATTTCGCATGCCATAGTTGTTGATCTACGATTTCCGTTTAGTTTTCTAAGAGAAATCTTTTAGTGTCGTTCTCGCAAATTTAAAATTTCCGTTACGATATCAAAGTCTTCGTTCTTTCCTACTACGTTCTCGGGCACATTTTCTTTTCACACACAGCCCTCTCCCTCCTCCCCCGCCATGTTATGCTGGAAAAATTCATTTGATTTTTATCATTTATGTTAAATAAAATTTGAATGTGCTCCCTTTGTAAAATCAGAGAAACAGACGAACAGACAGACATGCAGACACACAGACAGACAGACAGATAGATAGATAGAATCAACCAACATGTCCGCATTCGCCTATAGGCGGTTAAGTATTTGAAGCAGGAAAATTTGAAATTTTTATTTACCATTTTTTTTCGTTTCTTTTTAAGAAATCTTGGAAAAATTCATAACTCAACCATAAGTAGATCTAGATAAAACGCGTTTTTGGCAAAACTTTTCGGTTAGGTCTTGCATTGTGCATATGCATAAATGTGTACGTGGTACAGTGGTTTATAAAGTGATGAAAGATATGAATTGAACAGAAGTTTTTTTTCTCATTGTAAAAATTCTAAGAAAAAAAGAGAAAAAAAAAAAATTATAATAAAAAGGGGAAGAAAAGTGAAAAAAAAAAAAGGAAGGAAAGGGAAAGAAAAGCAAAAGAAAAAGAAAAGCAGGCAACTTCGAACGCTTTACCAAAGCCAACATTTACCCTTTCACTAGGACGCACTTAAAGTGGTATGTTGTGTATGCTTTAGTGCATAAGTAAATGTTAGGGAAACGGAAACGACAACAATAACTTTAAAATGATGATAGATTAGAAAAATGCTATAAACTTTTATTTTGCGAATTTCTAAAAGAATTTACTTAAAACCTTTACAAATATTTATGAATATCTAAACACCTAAAATTAGAAACTAAAAACTGCACTGCAACAACAATATTCGATAAAGTTCGGAGAAATTTAAATGCACATGGGGTAAAAATTTCATAAAATATTTTAAATTACATAACTTCGTAAATGGCAGCTATATAAAATAAAACTGCACTCTATGTCAGATGACGTACACGCACGACATTATATATTAGTTTCCATTAATTAGCAACGTATAGGCGAAAGAAAGGTGAAAAAGTATTGAAAGGTGAAAAGTATTTAACTGCATTAGTACTAATAGTTAGTTAGAAACTACGAAACATTTGAAACTGAATTACACGCTTGCAAGGTCAATATTTCAATTAGAGTTGAAAAATTCTTTTGTGTATGTCGACATGTCGACATGTAAGCTAAACTCAATTATCAATGCGTTTAAAGAATCTTAAGAACTGTAATAGAATCTGTAGAGGTGTTTAGCATAAAGACGTTCTCCTTTCGCATTGACAGATATCCTGAATCGTCTCAGTGTTGTTGATGGAAAATCATACGAGGACGCATCGAAAATTTGCATTGGACGCAAGCAGCAAAAATCTGTGGTAATGCTACAAAAATAAATTATATTCCTATAAACAGATGCGTGCGTCAATCGTGCATTTTGTCTCCTGTTCTTTTTAACGTCAACTGTGAAGTTGAATGTTTCAACAAAACAAACCAAGTAAGCAAAGTATCGAAGCATTCATTAAAGTCAATAATTGTCAATTCCTCAATACGCGGACAATGCAACTATCCTAGCAGTTAATATGCAGGGGTATGCAGACAAAGGTTCAAGCTGTAAATGATCAAATCTAAATATCAGCAAAAGCAAATTTCTCGCACGAAAATTGCCCATATAAACGCTACTCTACCAGTTAAAAAACAAAATCTTGGATCCATATTATACGTGGACTGGTACACCAATGTCGAAATAAAAAGGAGACTAGAAATGACGAAATGAATGAATGCATAAGAAGCGTTCTAGAATATTCTAGCAAGCCGAGAGATTAGCTTATCCCTTCGCTCTATGTTCAGTGTTCTTGTATGGTCCAAGATCATGGCCATTAACGATCGTTACAATGAATAGACTGGCAGTCTTTGAGATGTGATGCTACCGTGGAATCCTGCAAATATCGTGAGTAAATCGCATATCCCTTGCTGAGTAGGTGAGAGAGAAGAATAAACTCTGACCGTGATCTAATAAAGCCTATTAAAAACCAAAAATGTGCGTACTGGAGAAATGTATGAACTGCTACGCCTAATAGTGTAAGGCCGTATCGACGAGCGTAGAGATAAGGGCAGAAAACAAATATCGTGGTTATATTGGCCAGGACTCTGAGAATCACAGCATAACAATGTAATTTGGTGCCTAGCTGTATTATGAAATGTAAAGAAAAAAATAAGAAGTAGATGAAGAAGGAGGACAAGGTTGTGATCACTTATATCCGGTAACGGATGGGTAATAAAGGAGAGAAAAGAGTAATAAAACCGAATCTACGCAAATAGCTGATAACCACGGTTTACTAAAATATTGTTTATGTATTGCACATAATTTTTTAAGGTTAATAAAAAACTATCACAACTACATATTAAGTAATTCATTTTAATTTGCGATCCAGTGAAATGTTTTATTTTATAGTTCACAGTTTTATTTACTTATTTTTTTTTTATTTTTTTTTTTTTTTCTTTATATACGTTCTTCAGAAAGGAGAGAAAGAGAGAGAAAAAATCCCATATTGAATATATTTTTTTATAGATAAATAAATAAATCAAAAGACTTTTCAGTAAACAAAAACAAAGGAAACTTTATCTTATATACAAAATTTGAAATTTCTCATAATAAAGATAAAGCAAAAAAAAGTTTAAGAACAAGGGAGAAAGAACATTTTGCGGCAGCCCAATAACAAAATAGCTTAAAATCAAACGAAAGCAAGACGTAAACAACTGAACAGCCTTCCATCCGTTGCATGATGGTTCGAAAACAGCCAATACAACTAAAAATTCCAAAGTTATTGAGAATTCTTTTATATATGAATTTTTCCGCTTATACGGAATAAAAATTTAATTTGTTTTCTTCTATGCATATAGAGTTATGCGTGTATGCGTGTGTTATACGTATACATAGTATGCAAAATCTCTACCGTGTATAGCACATTGGCTTACCACTAAAAGCATGTGTTTTTCTTAATACATCATCATCATCTAATGCATATGTTTATATGAAAAAAAGTAAATAAATAAATGAATAATAATAAGAAAATATGCGCAGCTCTATCAGTAAAAAATTGATGTTTTTTTCATTTATTTATTTATATTTTTTCTTTTATGACATTTTGCATGGAAATAGATAAAGCATATGTTGCTTGAATGAACATCTGTTTGGTAAGTGAAACAATACCAATAATAAGAAATAAAGAAGAAAACCGAACCAATTTTATTATAATTAACATAACAATTGGAAATAATTCATGAATTCATGAAAGGAACGAGTGAGGTTTTCGTCCATCGATCGAAAGTATTTTCTGAAATTTTTTAATATGTAAGAAGATTTTTTTTTCTCTTAATTTTATTAAAAACCCTACTTCTAAATATTTATACGCGAATGACTGACTAACAGATGCCTAAGAAGAGGGAGATTTTTTGTATGCGAGCCTTAGAAGAAATTTGTTTATAACGAGTTTCGTAGGTAAAGAATTCGCCCTCTTTTTTTTTTTTTTTTTTTTTTTTTTTTTTTTTTGTGGGCAGAGTCAATAGAGTAAATAGTAAGCGAATACGAACGTCCTCTCTTCGCTGCAGTTGGCTGCTTAGCAAAGAATTTTTACATTATCACTACATTTCTAGTTAATAGCGCATATAACACTCTCCGAGAGATAATTGCGAATAAAAATTGTATTATAATGTGTTTGTTTCAAGCTTCCATATACAAATATATTTACAATCGCTACAAATTAATAAAAAAAAAAAATAAAAAGAAAAAAGGAAAAAAAAACACATTTTCATAATATATCAGAAACGATCAGTAAAAAGCCGTAACCGTGCTAAACTACTTTAGAGAAGAAGAAGTAGAAGACGAAGAAAAATTCTTAATAAAAATGTAGCAAAAACTTACCCCAGTTAAAGCTGGTTTATCAGCCACCATAGCTGCAGTTGGGGCTAACGATGATGGCAAATTAGTCGAAGTACTACTACTATCAGGGCTGAAGTAGGTTAAGAAAGCGCAACCTGTAACCAAATGGTAGCAAATTTTCTTTTTTATTTTCATTTTTATTTTTATTTTGATTAAGTGTTTCACTTACAAATATATAAATAAAATGAAAATATGTTTATGCAAAAGTGTACAATGTTTAATTTTAATTAAGCTACATGTCACGGTATTTTATATGTATGAAGGGTACAGAAGGGCATAGTTTTCTTCAGCCAAAGTTACTGTTAAATGTTTTAATAGCGTGCTAAACTGTTACGTGTGACAAATGTTTTGTGGCAGTGTAGCTAATAATTTAACTTTGATAACAACAATATATATTTATTTATATATATATATATATATATATATATGATGATGCGTAATAATGAGACGTAAGTTTCCCATCCCATGGTTGAATAAGCCGATAGTTCACAGATTATTTCAGCGGCAATTGCTGCAGGCTCACGACCAAGTCTTAAATTGCAATGCAATACAGATGGACAAACAAATAACGTTAGAACTGCTTGGAATCCTGCTTATGTGAATTAGCAGTTCCTCTGAAAATTTTCCTTATAGACTTTATAAACGGAAAGTAGCAGTAGTGGAATTAGAAGCACTTTTAAACGACTTCCATTGTTGGATATGCACTTACGTCCATACATGCAGGGGATAAACAAAATAATTTAAACACCTGACATGTCCATAATATTTATTTATCGATAGGATAGGGACACCACCTCTAGTAGAAAAATTGTAATTGATCGTGGACCAGATACGTGGAACGTCTGAGTAGTGTGCAACCAAGTGTTGTGCAATTCTTGCGGATCCTTCTATTAATAATTTTTCCATATATTAACAAGGCATTTAAATTTTTGGTGAGCGTTTTGAAATACGCCCATTTCGTATAAATTATCAAAATCAACAAACGATCGGTTCGCGGACGGGTCGTTCCCATTTACCTCTCTATTCGAAACTTTTATTTTCGTAGAAATACGATAATGACAAAAGTTTTCATTGACAACTAAGCACTTTTGCCAATTTTGCATGTATTTTGTAGCATCGTCGATAGAACATATATACACGCAATATTATACCGCTATACCTTATGCAAGGTAGAAGTACTACGTAAAAAGCTTAGTGCCTAGGCTTCTAAAAACATGAAAGCATTTGAATTGCGGGCTTTTTAACTTTAGGGTTAGCAACGTCCAAAATATATGTTTTACACTTGCATACGATATCATCATTTTTGCTACCAGGAGAGGAATAAACGCACATGCTGCAGTCTCTCCCCTTGGTTGGTGTAAAATCACTATTGAGTTCTTGTTCATTGTTTGCAGTGAAGGATTATATGTCTGCTCCGCAGCGAGTCCCTTGCGGAGAGGTAATCTTGTCGTGTTATCATATATTTCATAGTTAATTAAGTTAATTACCGCTTAGCTTCACATATGAATTTATTATAGATACGAGAGAGACGCAAACTGTATATAATATTAACGGCTCCCTCTCTCTCATTTTGATTACGTTTTACTTTTATTCAAAATGAATTTTATTTAAGTACATAACGACCTACTTTACTATCAATTATCTTTTGCCATTTCCTTATACTTAAACCGTATCGCCATTATTGTATTAATCTCTGGTGTGTTCTTCACCAAAATCTGAATGGGAGAATTAAGCGGACGCACCAAACACAAAATAATCGCAGGGTACAAAGTACGGGTTATTCAATGAACACAAATTGGATAGAAGCTCCCCAGCCAAACATCCTCAATTTTTGGCCAAATCATTAAAAATATTTGTAGGGTAACGTTATCATGACGGAAGGCGATACATTATCTATTAAGCAAATTCCTGAATATTTTTTTTCTCGTACCCAATACACGGTTATAAGATGTTATAAATTGAAGAGTTTTTCATTCCATAACTATTGAAAAGTCGTAAATTGATTGTTAGAACCATAATGGCTTTCTACAAAAACAAATTTTATGTAAACAAAACAGAAAAGAGAAATTGAAAGGCATTTAACGACAGCCTTCAAAGGCACTGCTCACAAAATGCTATAATGTGGGAAAGACTGAAAGACCGCAACAGAAAAAAGAACACGGGGAAGCCAACAATGCCCGTTTTCTGTTCTCCCCACTTTTTCGTTTTCCCTTTATTTATTTATTTTTTTTGTTTTTTTATCTTGTCTCCAAGAAGAGGCCAACATATTGCACTTATGTACGCTGCTCGTACGGACGGGTTTATAAATGTTTGCTCTGCATCTATATACCATCAATGTTTATATAATATATATATATATATAGCAGGTTGTAATGTGTTAATGTGTGCTTTTAATAGTCAAGGAGTACTGGTTTTATTTTTTATTTTTTATTTATTTATTTTTTTTTTTGTCTTCTTGCGAACAGATAGAGGCACACAGAGTAAGTGTTATAAGGGTTGTTTATGAGCGTGACTAATTAAAAATAATATTATAATGACTTAACTAATGATTGAAAAAGAGGTCTGCGGCTTGTGTTACTGTCTTTTATACCTACCACAAAGCGCACATTGGATTTGTCAAATGTTGTTAAAACATAAAAATATGCATTAGAGATTTAAAAGCGACCGGTATAAAATCTGTTTAATTCAAAACCACAATTGCGACTTTGCTAGAAGAAGAAGAAGACGAAGAAGAAGCTTTTATCTAGAAGGATAATGCTTGTCTCACATTTTAGTTTCTCGTTCGGTTTGGATGCGCCAAGGTGGAAAATAAAAAAAAATATAACTAATCTGCTTACGTCTTCGCCTAGAGTTGTGCAAAAATTTGCAATTTTTTACTTACTTTCAAGCTATAGATCGAAAGTGACAATGGATGTGTTTCAAGTTTAATTCTAAATTTTTGTTAATAACTTTCCCGCGCAAATCCTTAATGAACGAGTTACCTACGAAGGCTAATAAAAGAGAAGAAATATGAATACATTTCTGCCAAGTGACGTAAAAATATTCAATGCGATATATATGCCTTTATGTATATGATCGGTATATCGAATGAAGGAATTTTTTTGCTTTATTTGATCATTAAAAAATTCTGCCTAATCCGAACTTAACTCATTTCTTATTTATTTTCAGCATCAAGTGAGAGACTTATGCTTAATTTAGTTTATTTAATAGGAGTGATTAAAAATTGTGCAAATCACTGAGTATATCATTCAATAAAGAATTTTCATTAGCGTTAGTGGTATTTATTGCATATATTTGATGTGGTGATAGTAATGTCGGGCAGAAGGCTATGCACAATTCATCCCTTTTTCCCTTTTATGTAAATATGATAAAATGTTTATTATTAACTAGAATATCCTAAGGAAAATAATAGGTGCTTGCATGTATTATGATCATTTTTTCACTTGAAAGGGACCTTTGGCAGCGATCGTCATATTATTAAAAATTAAGTAGAATTCATTAGTAACAACCGTCGACCGAATCCATGAAAAGTACATTTTTCCCCTTTAATTGAAAGGATATCAAGACACCATTGGGTTATTGGCATTATTGCTGATAACATTTTCTCATTAACAGCATCGTTATATGGGAAGCAGTGTGTATTGAAAGCACACGTTGAATAGAAACACGAGATACGTTTAAAATTTCTTTGAGGTTCAAAGTTGATTAGGCGGACGAAGAAATTGGTGAACTCATTGATGAGTAATTGTTTGTTTTCTGACAAACTTACATTGTCAACTGTGAAAGCTATACGTTTTTTCGAGACTCTCCAGATACGCTCAAATTCTCGCAATGCCGTCATTATTTGATGTACGTATATCTTTTGCTCAGAAGAACTCGTACGATTTACGAGTTGTAAGCCAGATCGGTGGAAAACAATTAATTACTCAGCAATACGAAATCTTTCATTTATGCAATTAGACCATTGATTTGTGACACGGTGTTTCCGTTTGAGGATTTTCATTTAAAACATGTGGTGTCTTTTAATATTTCAAGATGTCAATCTTTTTATGCCAGTTTAGTTTTCAAAACCACCGACAATTTATTTGTCATTGCATTGCAAGCCAACGCTACATTTCAATGACGAATTTTCCCATAAAAAATGAATGGGTTAAACAACACACGATTTTCACGATTGTTTCACAAACAACAAATGTAACTAAAAGCTTATAACTCACTAAATAAACGAAAGCACAAATGCTATGAAGTTATGACAGACGTCGTTCGAGAATTGTCACTTTCCTTAAAGTAATGTGCATTTTTTATTCGAGATGACATCTACGCGATATTTCCGGGAATTATTGAAGGATGCGTTAATTGATGCGTTGATGAGAAAGGTGAGCTCGTTACAAAACGAAAACGGAAATGCGTGTCGCTACTGTGTGGGGCTGCTGCAGGTGTAATAAGTCAATATTTTGCCAGGCGCAGATGCTTATGTTTGTTAATAATTAATTTCGTTTACGCGTTAATGTAGTTGACTTTCCCATGCGTATACAAATTTACGCACACACAAAAATTCTTTTGCAGTGTAACTATAATCAGCAAACATATCGGAATGGGTTAAACATATCCATCCCCTTGTGAATAATTTGCACATAATACTCTTTTGTGGTTGCGAATTTCTTCGCGTCTACTTCTCACATTTTCACATCATTCTCGATTTTCAACTAATCGTACATTTACAAAGGATTAATGCGATATCCACCATCTTGTTATCCGCAGATATACAAGAATTCACATATATGACTGATGCCGTGATAACGGCTTGCAATTGTACATTTACGAGTGCAAGTGGTAAGAGCTAGTGTAAATTAAGGTGATTAATACGAACGTTTCAACTTTAAAATGTTTTTCAATCACAGTTAGGATGATGACGGCCTTGAGTTGCTAGCCGAGCGCTATTCTATTAGGTTGTCCTTGGTCTGGACAATAAGAAAAAAGTGATACGCAAAGAAATCTGTTAAACTTTAATAGGCAGGGACGATACGAATTAAGCCTTTGTATTTCAGTGCCTTATAAAGTTTATTGAAATGAGACATAAAGACAAATTCGAAAATCAAACACAACACTCACAGTATACTGAGAGAATATTGGATTTGCTTTGCCGCTCACACAAACATTTTGAAGTAAATTGAATCATCAGTTTGCTTGCTTCGGTCTATGTTCGCTCTTTCTATCGCAAGGCGATATTGTGTCTGGTAGTGGAAGCGTTTTACAAACACGATTTTTCTCTTTAGAACTTATGCTCGGATCAGGCATTTAAAGATAAACTTCTGAATATAAGCAAGAAATTCGTTTTCACACCTTTACATGAGTTTTCAATAACCATAATGACAAGCAAGTATATAAGAATCACAACACAGACGAGTGAAGGGGCTGATTGGAGGGAGCCCTTTTCCAGGCACTCACCTTTCAAACTTTTTCTTTCAACAAATTTGAAGATGAAAGATAAGTTACAATGCCTCTTGACAATCCTTGCCAAATGGATTTACCCATTAAATGTATATCCCTTGAGGAAGTAGAGCGTGAAATATCCATTTTAAATAAGAAAAATCTGCGAGTTAAAGCTCTGCTTAAAAAGAGTGTTATTATAATGACCTTTGAGATGGAATCGTTACCTCGATCAATGGAAATGCGTTGAAATAGTGATGGCTTCTAAATATGCTGAGTCAGAGGATGATGTCAACTATTACAGCCCAATAAGTCTTCTATCCACGTTTTTGAAAACTTTTGCTACTACGAAGATTGCAGCCAATCTTGAATGGTGAATAATATAGTGCGTGAAAATCAACTCGGGTTTCGACGTATGCACGGTACGCCTCAACAAAGTCATCGAACCGTGAACGAAATAAGCAATGCGTTAGAAACTAACCAGTACGGTTCGGCACGGATCTTGAACGTGAAGCCTACTTTTCGATAGAGTGTGGGATGCAGGACTTCTTCTTAAATTGAAAACGAATGTTCCTCTTCCTTTCTATCTACTGCTTCGTATTTGGAAAATTGCCCCTTTCATGTTAATGTAAATAACGAAATGTCAGACGTGTATGAAATCAATGCAGATATTGCCCTGTGTAGCGTATTAGACGCTATGCTCTACACTATTTTCTCGTGGGATATACCGTTGTCTGAAAATGTCACTGTCGCTACATATAACGTAAAACCGAAGCTTCAACTCTAGTTCAAACACACCGCAACAATATCTCTGTACGGCTGAGTCCCTTAATGGTATCTCAATTCTGGAATTGAACTGTTTTATGTATGTACCTTAGCATGCATACAGACGTGAAAACACCATACAAAACACAAACATATTTTTCGTATATTTCGTTTCGATATCAAGAAAAAACGTCTTTGGCTGATTGGTCAGAAATCAGTTAAGTCAGAAAAGTAATTTGCTCTTACGTAGCAATCCTGAGTCCCATTTGACCATCGGGGCATACAACTTTGGCGAACAGCGAACAACTCGAGCATTAAATATCTTCAGTGCTATCAATCTAAAACGCTTCAGGCTAATCATGGGAGTTCTACGATCTACATTGAGCAGTCGTATTCATAAGAATTTGGACAATCTCACAGTAAAAGAAGATATTGTTTTGACTTGAGGTTTCGATATTTTGATCGGTTTAGTCATTATTCGAACTTGGTTTTGGTTTGATTCAATTTATGTGTCTTATCCTATTACTTTATCCTCCGCCGATAGTTATACAGAGTTGTGTATTGTAATAAATTTCGTCGAGTAAATAGAAAGACGAACATAGAGGCAAATAAGTAGCTTATGTCAACTTAAATTTTTCTCTTCTATATGCACGTTTACACACATACATGAATGAAGGTACAAAAATCATTGTTGTCAATCAATTACTTTAGGTGTTTCAGGTCGTCTGTGCGCGTGTAGTTTACTATGCGCGCCATGATCATAAATGGTCGGCTAGAACGGACGACGTCTTGTATATTATCGCTATAGTGTCTGCTGCGATGGAAAGTTGTTAACAACTCCATACATCTACGTGCGTTTACCGCTGGCTTTTAGTAGACAAAGGGACAACGTGCACTGAAAATTACCTTTCTTTGCTTTCATGATTTCAATTCATTTAATCTTCGTGTTCCTCATGAATTTGTCACGCTTTGCTGTTTTCAGTCATTTCATTTCTTAATTCTGATTGGAAGCAATAGAAGTGAAGGAAAGCCTGATGTTATTCTTTCTTTTTAGTTGCTACATGAGATGCTTTATTTTAAATAGTGCGTGAAGGTACCTTTTCGATGATCACATCTTTGCAGCATCCCGCATACATTATAACAGTTGATGCAGAAAAACTTCGCTGTCTTTCCATTGCCTATCTGCTTACCTATGAACAAGGTGTTGCATGACATGGTTATGACGGAATATGACGATATCCATATAGAAAGAAAAGTATAAGTCAGTTATTACATTAATTAAATTTGTGTTAAAACCGGGCTATAATTTTAATTCCGTATATGTAGCATTTGCCTTAAGTACAGGTTAATTTTAAAAGTGCTTGTAATTACCCTAACTGCAATTTAACAAATTCGCAAAAGATTTTAGTGATAAAATACTAAAATTAAAAAAAAAAACAAGTGAGAAAGTTATATTCGTCTTGTACAGCTACCTGCGTTAAGACCTTTGGCGCCCCATGCTCTAATTTATTGTCATAAAAGAGTGGGCGATCACGAGAATGCCAACAAAACATACCTCACAGACACACAGACAGACAAACGGACAGGCAAGACTTAATTAATTCAGAATTTCATGCTGATCAAAAATATATATACTTTATAAGGTCTCTGAAGTTTGCCTTTGTGTCTACCCCGCCTTCCTCTGTGTTGGGTATAAAAACGAAACTGAACGTATTATATCAAAGTGAGTTATACTTTACTTTGAAGCTTCGACATTGAAGTTAGGCTGTAAATAAAAAATCGTTCAAATGTTCAGCACGGCTTTGAACCCATACCGTTAATCTATCAGTGCAACATTAGTTGCATTGTGTTTGCAGTTGCCTGCGGAATTTTTCGGTGGCGAAGGCTCGATATCATATATATAGAAAACATGTGGTTCTAGTAGGATAGGGCTAGATGCTACACCCAATGGAGAAGCAGATAAGAGGTGGATTTGTGATCTATCACCTACGGATTGGTTTCTTTGGAGCGACATCAAAGCTCAAGTCTATGGATACCTGGAATACTTGGAAGCGATAGTTTTTATATATAGTGTTACGCGACATTGATAATGAAAATCGCTTTGAAATCCTTAAAATATCTCTGGTATTTTTATCTGTTTACATCGGGTATAAATGTTTAAAGTTCTTTTACATCTGCATTATTGACAACAACATAGTTAACCATAAAGCTAAGAATTCTGTTTCTTAATGTTTTTTCTTACAATATAAAAAAATTTAAAGAAAAATATGAAAAAAAAAGCAAATAAAAAGCAAAGACATGTGAACCCTTAAGCGATCTACTGCTAAAGGTTTATGTAGTGTAGGTAAATATATAAAACTTGTGCTGAACATATGTTATAGCAGCTGTAATGTACCGATGCCGCTGTTAGTGCCGGTGGATGGCGGATGGTGTAGTTTAGTTTAAAGCTTTTAACTGTAACTTCTGTACCCAAGTGTATGTGACGAGCATTATTTCTCTCGTCTTTTTTTTTTTTTCCTCCTCTTCTTATTTTTTTCTTTTCTTTTTTTTTTTTTTTTTTTGTTGTTTCATTGCAATCTAGACGCTTTTAACTATATTACTCCTACATTTATAGTTAAATAACTACAAGAATGACTGCAATTATTGTGGAAATAAAGTATGACTAACATGAAAAATTATGGGATTTCAAACCGTTAACTTAACACTGCATAGTACTTACTGGCTATATGTTCGTTATGAAAGGCCAACATGTTGTTGTTATGGTAATGATGATAACGATGGCTTTATATATATGTATAAATATACATATGTATAAATATACACACACACTCTCTCTCTCTCTCTCTCTCTGCGCAAATGTTAATGGAAATTAATTGTTTTCCCAAAACGTGAGAAGGAAAAATTTTACAAATAAAAACGAAACAAAGAAAGAAGCAACAATAACTGGACACAGACAGATTTTTTAAAGATTTATTTCGAAAAAGTTTTTCGTGAACACCTGCAAAGAAAATAAAAGAAGAAAGAGAGACAAAGAAAAAACAATCAGAAAATTTTTAAATGTTGTTATTGTTTATACTTAAATTTAAAGATATTATCATGTTTAAGAGTAAGAAAAAAGAATATTGCATTTTGTTTAAATTTTTCACGCTTATCGCAAATTCTTCGATTTTAACAATTGTCAGTTGAATAATGCGCAAAAAAAAAAAATAAAAATAAAAATAAAAATAAACAACTTCATATTAAATGTCATTCATATACATCACGAGATTATTAAGTTTGCTCGTTGTATACATATATGTATGTGTTTTGATATTTTTTCTTGTTGACATTTTCGTGTAATTGATCAAGCCATGTTTACCTAGTAAACGTTTCGTTGATCTGATTCATAATTTTACTAAAGCGTTTACGCACAGGCTTAGGCAAATAATAACAATGAAAACATAATTTTTCTAATGCTGCTGCGAATATAACGCGGCGGCAATAGAGAAAATGCTATAACATAAGACTTAGTAGAAACTATTACGGAACATGCGTAAAGGAAATCTCCTTTTTGTGGTAAGGATCTTCACAATTAATATATAAAGCTCTTATAAAGCTATTCCGGATATTAGATCAAATGTTTGGCAATGCAACCTTATTTTCGCAAGGCACAGATGTTTTGCACAAAAGCTCTACCATTTCATTTAATGGAGCATAGACAATGGCAAGCCATGCTTGTCATGTCTCTACTCCTTCTCGCCAAGTTGAAAAGCGATATTAAAAGTGTAATGATCAGAACACGCAGACAACATTTTTCGATAGATTCTAAAATAGCTACGAATGTGTAAATGGTTCAAGTATAAATGCAGGACAGGACAAAAATAGAAAAAAGATTTGCAAACAAATATTTATTTAATTTTTTTGTTTTGTCTTATTCTAATAAGGTTGTTTTAAAAGGCAAGGAAACCACAGAATTAAGGCTAGTCCAGAAAATTGAACAAGAGAGATTATATTAATGGACAAGAAGATCTAAACAAATGGTCAGCAGTGAAAGTGTGAAGCATGTGCCACTTGAAGAATGCACAATTTCAACAGCTCGGCTGTGTAAAGAAGAAATGAGGCAAACTTTTGTGCTCCCATTCTCATCCAAAACGAACTGTGCTTCGTTACTGCCTTTAATAGGTGAGTGCGTGTCGTGGAGTGCAACTCTGTCTTTTCGAGTTTGTCACTTTTCTTGTTATCTACGTTATCTTTAACCTAGAACAAACATAGTTTTTTTAATGGCCTAGGTTGGGTTGGCGAAAGCACAAACAACTTCAGCATATAATTCAACTGGAAAGGAAGAAATAAATTTCATCAAGATAATATCAAATAGTTCAAAATAACGAAGAAATTCTTAAGATTTTGAATTTATTGGAAAAGAAATTGTAGCACTGTTACTCGAAATGTAGGCTCACATGGGAAGAGCCTCCCTCCAAACGTGCTCAATAAACATGAATATTCGTTTGAGTTAAACCAACATATGGACAAGAATGATGGAAATGGAGACTGATAAAATTGTGGCTGAGACGAATTGTAAGGCATATATTATTCGCATCCATATTTCCTTTATGACCCAATTCGTAAGCAGGAATTCTAATCCACATCTCAAGTTGAACGTGAAACCTGCTTAAAATACTTTTGACAGTGGAATGAAAAAGATCAATTGGCTTTTGTTGAGCGACCTTTGGGCGACCTACGCTGCAAAAGGATTTCAAGTCGCCATTTCCCAAGAGAGGATTGGATCGCATTGCTGAAAGCATTCTGGCGTATTTTGATGCCGATTATTTGAAACCCACCTTACCGGTGTGCATAAGATGCTTATGGTATACTCTAGAAGAAATTAATTGAGCGTAAACTGTGCACTGACTGACATTGTCGTGTGATTTGAGCAAACGTCACGGTTAGACAACGCCTCGGTTACAATCGTTTTCTCGCGACCCAAAATTTCACAAAATTATGAACAGCATCGAAAGTGCCGCGAATATTTGTCGAATCAGTCGTCATATAGTGCGTCGCGTTGAAGCGTATGTCTTTCAGACTATTCCAGAGGCGTGTACTGATGATAAAATTATGTTGGATCTACGTGATAACATAAAAGTGTGCGAACACATACTGGTATTGTGTCGTCAGTAGGCTTTCTTTTTCTGTGTATGAGTATGACTCCTCTTATCTACTTGGCCCTTTATATATATATATATAAGAGATAGACTTTGCCGCATTGATGGGTTTTTTTTTTTTTTTTTTTCGTGTGTTTTATATTATAAGTGCTCCACTGTATATATCGTAGCGTTAAAAACAAAATGCATCGAAATTTATATTCCTTCCGTTGCCGTGTTTCCAATTTCAACTAAGACAAATTGTATAAATTGCTTTTATTTACTTTGCTATGTAGGAATAAAATGTGATTTAGGATTGAAGGTAAGAAGAAAATTTGATTTGATTTTAATTTCAATTTATAAACGAAACCACGAAATTTGATTAACGTAGTAATGTCAGGAAGATGGCAGGAAAATCTTATGATTGCACATGTGTACGTACGTTTACGATCTTACAAACATTTAACGTAAGTTATTCAAGTGAAGCAATTATGGGCCTTCATGTCTTTAAGGGTTTTTAATGCACAAAACGTAATTATATTAGTAACAAAATTTAAATTATAAGCTACGAGTGTTTGCAACTTATGAGGCAAATGAGAATTTAATAAATTGCTGTGATATATATGTATGTACGTATGAAATAAAATGAATTACAAAAATTGAAATTTAAACGAAAAGCCAAAGTTATTATTATTTCATATATATCGCATTATCAAAAGCTCCCAGAGGCAAATATTCAATTTAACTTCTATTTATATAATTGTTTCTTCTAATTAGGATAACTTTTGCAATTGCATTGAAATTAGCAAAATGTTTGCTTACCTTATTCAGCCAATACTTTGCATACTCTATATCAATCAGTTCCTACCAATTGGGCATTTGAAGCTTTCGAATTCAATTTTTAACCCATTGTCTTTAAGTAAAGTTCAACTTCTTAACTAAACAATAAAATGTTAAATATATATATATATATATATATATACTTGAATTTTTCAAATCCAATATTATTCACGATTGCTTTAAGCAACACCTTTTTGCTGATAATTATACCTTTTATATAACATTATAAGTTATCTTTTAATGATTTGAGCCGAGCCTCGGCGACGTCCATCTATCTAATCAAATTTCAATTACTTTTCACTGACAAACTCTCCCGGTAGCAACAAATTCGAATGATAATAACAACAAAAACAAAAGTCCAAAAATATAACTTTTCATTTTTTGCTCTGCTATAATGTTTGCTCTTTTTCTGTTTCGACTTCCATACTCTCACAATATATGCTTGACATTTGAGCAACAGTTTCAGTGTTATAGGAAGGAAAGCACGATAGCATATAGCCTCTAAGAAGTGCTTGAATTATTTTACTGTTACACTGTTGATTTAATGGGATGTCTCAATTACAGAGACAACGAAAGCGTCTGGTTAGGGTTATTTTTCTGAATTCTCTCGTTGACCGAATAGACGCTTTGAATCTTTTAGTATGCCTTGATGTCGACTCTTTCTCTAAGTGTTTCGAAGAGACGACTCTTTACGAGAGTCGTCTCTTCCTGGATCCTAGCCAGGAAACTAAAGCTTAACACCCTAACCGTTGACTGCTTACTTCCGGTTCTCTATTACGGCATAAATATAAAAAGCATGAATACAAAAATTCTCATTTTCTTCATTTTGTTGCATCTCTAGAATAACAGAAGAAGAAGAAGAAAAATATGTAACATATCTTGAATGAGTTAAATTAAATAAACGATTGTCTTCTCTTGGTCGAATTTTGAAATTTTCCATTAAAATCAACATCTTTAAAAATTGCATGCACCTCTCTATCTCTATTCTATATATATTTGACGCTTGGTAATACAAAATCATGTTTAATGTCTGCCGATCCTTTTAAAGCTGTAAAGGGATCGCTCCTCTCTTTAGCAATATTCTAAAGATCACTAACGCATTTGCTATAGCTAGCCGAAGTGCCTGAAATTGTTGAAACTGACAGTAGAAACAGAGCGTATGTGTATCAAGTTATCAATTGAAACAAATGTCACAGTTCGCCCGTTCATATATATTGGAATTTGCTTACATGCATATGTAGGGAATAAAAATATTGCTCAAGTGTACACGATTCTAACGTATATTGAAAATAGTTTTTACTTAATTTTCTGCTTAGTAAATTGCTTTTGCACATATGACGTGTAAAGCGAAAGGTTTTAAAATGTGTTTGCTTGACTCGCCATAACAGGCATAGCGAGAGGCATGCACTTTGGGGGGTCAAAAAAAAAAAAAAAAAATAAGTGAATTAAAATTTATTAATTTTCTTCTTCTTTTTTTTATTGTATAGGCTTATGAACATAATTGAAAGCTGTTTCCGCGTCATACAAGAAACGTTTCCTATTTCCTACTCAATTTTTTATGTTCGGTATTTTGTTTATGCATTGATGGACGTCAACGGAAAGTTCCAAACAATCAAAATACATATATGTTCAGTTCATACGAAGTTAATTGTGTTTCTTTTATATTTATGTCGATCATAAGAAAAAGGGTATGTATCATAAGTCCTTTTAACCGAGGGAAAAATTTACATGAACTACACAGAATGTGTGTTAGGTGATTGCATGTATTTTGATCAGCGACATCCATTGATGCAAACTCGATATATCAACGTACGAAACGGTTGAATTCGATGATTTTGCATTTCTCTACATAAAATAACCCGTTTTTTCATTTGGTATTATTGAATTATTTAGTATATA